GTCAATACTATGGTATCACAGCAGTTATCAACTACAGACAGGAGTTTACCACAGCTGGGGAAACAAAGGATGGGTTGAAATTATTTAAACTTAGAAACTTGTGAACAAACATCTCTTTAGAACCAAAACTGAGATTCCTAAGGAGGGAACACTGCTCAGCTGTTGTTCTAGTCCAGCCCACTCACTCTACAAATAAAATATTGAGTTTTAAGTTCTTATCCCAAACTACCAAGTTAGTGATAGAGTTTTAACAGTGGTCTCCTGATTTTATGAGCTCTTTCTACCACACCACACTCCCTGACCAATATTTTATGTCATGTCAATCAAATATTCTTTCACTTAAAAGTTAAAGATATTCAAGTAAGATTCTCTAAACTAACGGAAGTATTGTGAGCTGTCATTTCTGAGACATCCTTTTCCACCCTACAGTGGGCAGGAAAAACTGTCACTTTTTAACATATCACATAACATAAGGGGCTTTTAGGGTTTCATGAATGTTCTATTTTTATCCAGATGTTGATTAAATAGATGTGCTCGTTTTTACAATTCTATACATTTACAATTTTTGTACTTTTCTGTATGCTTTTATGTGTGGATTCATAAAGACAGCAAAACTATGCTGCCACCTTTACAGAATCATCAGAACTGACAAATTCTTGATATATTAATCCTTTCATTTCCCACAAATTAGAAGGGGGAAAAATAATAAGCTTTATTCCTGGATTTAATTCCTAAAAGCAAAGGAAAAACTCACTGGTGATAAAGAAATGACAGAAATCATGGGAGAAAATAACCATGTCAGATGAAAGCTTACTGAGAAATTGCTAAATATTGAGAAACCAGAAACATTAAATGGACCTGCAAAAAGAGAGCACAGAATATTTGAGAACTTTGGAATTAGCCGAAGACCAAGCTCCATAATTTATTAACGGATGTGACTTAAATACGGTTATTTTATTCCTGTAAGGCTATTGCTCATCTGTAAAATGAGTTCAATGATACCTACCTTAAAGAGATGTGAATTAAGATACTACAATGTTTCTGCATGTATCTGAAATGAATACTATTATTGTATAGGAAAGGTAGGAAAACCTTATGTGATACTATCAAAAAAAGATGATGACAAAAGCACAGCTGAGTTCCTTCAGGGCTACAACAGCATCTTTCATCTTGGTATCCTCAATATCTAATATAGTGCCTGATATGCATGGAGTTTCAATAAATATTTGCTTAACTGAACTCCCTGTGATTCGAGAAAGGTTAGCAAAATAGTGATGGGAGAATTAAGGAGAAAAATAGATTTTGTGTATAAAAATCAAGTAGAAATAATTGTAGATTAAATTTTCAGGAAGTCTTACAGAAAATAGCAACTGGATTATGAATGTATGACTGAAGAAATGTGTTTATTTTAATGAAGATTTAAATAAGAAAAGACGGGGCGCCTGGGTGGCTCAGTTGGTTAAGCGACTGCCTTCGGCTCAGCTCATGATCCTGGAGTCCCGGGATCGAGTCCCGCATCGGGCTCCCTGCTTGGCAGGGAGTCTGCTTCTCCCTCTGACCCTCCTCCCTCTCATGCTCTCTGTCTCTCATTCTCTCTCTCTCAAATAAATAAATAAAATCTTTAAAAATAAATAAATAAATAAATAAATAAATAAATAAATAAATAAATAAATAAATAAGAAAAGACAGAAGGCAGATTAAAAATGTAAGATAAGAGAGATTAAAGTTGATGATGAACTTTCCGTTAAATGGTTTCTGACTAACAGCCCTCAAGGCAGCATTTTCCAACCTCCTAATAAAATACCCAGGAAAATGGAAAACAAGCAAGCAAAACCTATCCTACTAACTAAAACTAAAAACTACAGATAATCAGATGCCAAGGTTTAGGAGAAACTAAAGTTAATTATTTACAAATGGAGGTAAATTAAGAAATAAAAAACAGGGGCACCTGGGTGGCTCAGTCAGTTAAGCATCTGCCTTCAGCTCAGGTCAGGATACCCGGGTCCTGGGAGGAGCCCGACATCTGGCTCCCCACTCAGCTGGGAGCCTGCTTCTCCCTCTCCCTCTGCCTGCCATTCTGCCTACTTCTGCTCTCTCTCTCTGTCAAATAATAAACAAAACCTTTAAATAAATAATAAATAAATAAATAAACAAACAAATAAACAAACAACCCAGTTTATTAAGTACCCTGATGTCTTTGCTTGAAGCACAAGTCATATGGAAAAGGAGGGGAAAACCATAATCTTTATATGGATTTGAAGGCCTACAGCCTGAACCAAACAAAAAAGGGATGTTGTCCTTATCCACACCACAGAAAGAGTTAATCCCCTTTACCCTCTTGTTTCCACTAGCATTTTTTAACATCTACGTAGAGACATATAAGATGTAAATAGTAGGAAAGTGAGGAATGAGGTATTGGCAGTGGTAGAGCACATTCCAAAAGTCAAGAGACTCAAGGAATAACATGCTTGAGAGAATAAAAAGAAGAATCCTGGTACTACATGGATGAATTGTAGCTTTATTGTACTATTGGTCTAAGTTCTACAGAATCAGTCAACGGGGGTTAAGGAAAAGTTGCCAATTAAGTAAAAATTTATATAAAGTATTGGCAAATCAAAATCCCTATGCTTAAAATAATACTGCAAACAAAAATAATACCTCAAACAAATAGAGTTTATCCCAAGAATGTAAAGATGATTCATCATTTTTTTAAGTTTTAATTTTTATTTATTTTTTTAGTAATCTCTACACCCAAGGCTTGAATTCACAACCCTGAGATCAAGAGTCGCATGCTCTTCTGACTGAGCCAGCCAAGCACCCCTGATTTATCATCTTAAAAAATGTATTACATTACAATTTAAATAGGAAAAACAATATGATCAACTCAATAAGAAGTGGAAATACAAATTGCCAATAAACTTAAGCAGCACACATTCAGTAACCATGACAGATGGAAATGAAAACTGTTTTTCTTATCATCAGAATAACAAGATATTTACGAACGGTAACAAAGTGGGTAAAAACAAATACTGTGGAAGAAAAAGGCAGTCTAAGACATTCCTGGCAAAAGCTTAAAAAGGTACACCCTTTTGTATGAATTCTATCATTTTTACCTGTTTACAAGCACTGCTACTGGAATGTAAAATATTTTTCACACCATGTGTAATTATGTTTTAGCATTCAATTAGTCCAGTGCTTCTCAAATTTTCTGGTCTCAGGACTCCTTGCGCCCCTAAAAATTAGTGAGCAGATGAGTGGTTGCGGGGACGGGGGGAGGGCTGACTACAAAGGGGCAGGAAGGAATCTGGAGTGAGTGATGAAACTATTGTATATCTTGATAGTGGTGGTAATCACATGTCTGTATGTGTTTTCCAAAATCATAAACTTTATTATTAGAAAGGGTGAATATAATATATGTAAATTAAACCGTTAAAAAGTCAGACCTGAAAAAAATTCTTGAAGACTCCAAAGAGCTTTTATTTGAGTTACAGACAGCAATATTTAGCATATTAGAAATTGTCAACTGAGAAAATTTTAAAGTAGTACTTAATGTTTTCATTTTAAAAATAGTAACTGTACTAAATGTTAACATAAATTATGCATTCTTTATGAAAAATAACTTTTCCAAAGCAAAAAACATTTAGTGAGAAAAGTCCCACTGTTTTATATGTTAGCAAATCCTTTTAATGTCTGGCTTCCAAGAAAAAACAGCTGGACTCTCATATCTGTTTCTGTATTCAGTCTGTTACAGTGTCACAGGTCATGTAGCCTCTGGAAAACTCCACTGTACACTTGTGAGAAAATCAGTGTAAAAAAGACAAATAACATCGGCATATTATTATGAAAATAACTTTGACCTGGAACTGTCAGGAACCCCAAGGGTTCCTGGACCACACTTTGAGAACCTGATGTAGCCTATACAAGAAAATTTCAAATATTGAATACGGCATGACGATGTACTTCTTTTCAAATCAGGGAAACACTTTCTTACGCAGATTATCTGTCCTGATTTAATAAAACAGTCACCTTTTCCAGGTCAAAACTTTTACCAAACAATGCTTTAGACTGGGCTACAAACATCAATGTAAATGAAAAATATTTCCGAGACCAAACAATTTAAAAACAAAACAAAACAAACAACAGTCCCTAAGAGGTACAGCACCTCCTCAAGCCCTCACTCCTTACTCTCTCTATAGCACCAGGCAGCATGAACAGGGAGAAAGTAGAAAAAGAAAATAAATGACTCAAAGAAAGAAGAGATCCATAAAACCAAAAGGCCAACAGAGTAACTGCAAAAATAAAGCAGTACAGGAGCAAACATACCCTGAATGTGAAATACAAGAAAATACAAATATTGCTCCCTGGCCGTATACTAAAAAAAAAAAAAAAAAAAAACTCAAAATGCTGTATTGACTCTACCCCCCAGGCTACAGACAGGGACTCTTGGCGTCACTCATAAGACGGAAAATGGGGATCCACTCTCTTCCAACAATCACTCTATCCAGCATGCTAAGCAAGATGACAGAGCGCTGCACTAAGGGGAATCTGGTGTGCCTGCTTGAGGCTTTTTAACTATTGATACAACTTTCAGAACTACTCATTCCAAACGACCAAGTCCCACTTGCTGTCCCCGGGAGCTCTGTCCCACGGTGACTTTTAAACACTGTACTTTCCAAGGAAGTGGTGGCACCACCGGGAGACGGCGCACATCCTGGGCGGGCGCAGGCAGGACCCGGGCTCCCAAATGCCGCGGCGGCTTCCCTGTCACCTGTCCCTGACCCGGCGTCGCGGACCCAAGGTCGCGCCTCCTTTGACGAATACCGGGGCCACCGCGCTTCCCTGCCTCAGTTTCCCCACCTGCGCTTGAGGGGTCGGGAGGGTCGGCTCGCGGCGCCCCTCCAGCTCGACTACAGGACTCCGGGACACTGGCAGCTTGGCCGTTCAGGCGGCTCAGGCGGCCCTCTCGGTGAGGGGGCCGGTCTGCGGCTCCCGGCACTCACCTGGCTGACGCTTCAGCGCCATCACGGACACCAGGTAGTGGGCGATGTCAAAGAAGGGGAACATAGACGTGCGAGAAAAGGCAAGGGTCAGCTCATCCCACGGAGAATCCATGACGACGACCGACCACAGCAGGCGAAGCAGCCCGGGCGACGGGTTCCTGCCGTGCGCAGCGAAAAGTGGGGGAGGGGTCCTCCGCGGCCGCGCGGCCGCGCGACCTGCCGCGCGGCCTGGAGGAGCCCTGCGCCTGCGCCCTGGGACTGGCGCCGGAGCGCTTTGGGGCGGGGCCGTGTGGCCCGGGAGTGGGCGGAGCGAGCGGCTTCCTTGCTGTTCCGGCGGGGCTGGGCCTGGTTCTCCAAGTAAGGGTCTGGCATCTTCGTGCTGGAAGCTGTGCCCGATCTAGGAGAACGGGCAGATGAACGTAACATACATAATGATTTTAAAAATACATTACTGGGGCGCCTGGGTGGCTCAGTTGGTTAAGCGACTGCCTTCGGCTCAGCTCATGATCCTGGAGTCCCGGGATCGAGTCCCATATCGGGCTCCCTGCTCGGCAGGGAGTCTGCTTCTCCCTCTGACCCTCCTCCCTCTCATGCTCTCTGTCTCTCATTCTCTCTGTCTCACATAAATAAATAAAATCTAAAAAAATAAAAATAAAAATATATTACTTATGGGGCGCCTGGATGGCTCAGTCGTTGGGCGTCTGCCTTCGGCTCAGGTCATGATCCTGGAGTCCCTGGATTGAGTCCCGCATCGGGCTCCCTGCTCGGCGGGGAGTCTGCTTCTCCCTCTGACCCTCCTCCCTCTCATGGCTCAGTCGTTGGGCGTCTGCCTTCGGCTCAGGTCATGATCCCGGGGTCCTGGGATCGAGTCCCACATCGGGCTCCCTGCTCCGCGGGAAGCCTGCTGCTCCCTCTCCCACTCCCCCTGCTTGTGTTCCTGTTCTCTCTATGTCTCTGTCAAATAAATAAATAAAATCTTAAAAAAAAAAAAAAAAAGACTGGCTGCAGAATAGTCTACGTCGTGGATGACCACCTTCTCAAGGGCCTGTAATCATTTCAAAAAAAAAAAATACATTACTTATGTTAAATTTAGTACATTTATTATTTTAAAGCGAATACGTAAAGAACTATTTTAAGTTTTTCTGTTATAACTTCCAATATGCTAAGTATTGATCATGTAACCCATGTAAAATCTTGAGGACTCTTTTGGGTCCTCAAGAAATTTTTTTAAGTCAGCTTTAAGGGTTTAATTTACATACATCTTATTCACCCTTTTTAATATAAAGTTCTATGATTTTGGATAAACCTATGCAGTCCAGAAGGGTAGAGGTTCAGAATGGGATTAATTTCTTTAAACTGATTCACCTAACATTTCTCAAGCAACCATAATGTGCAAGTCACACCGTGATTTAATGGAGATATAAAAAAGAATACAATCATATCCTGCCCTCAATAAGCTTGTGTTTTCCCAAGAGGTTGAAAAAATTTTTGAGGACACACGTAGTTTGTACAAAGCTGGTAGTGAGAAGTGTAGGTGCCATGCTAGGGCAGTTCCGGAGAAGAGGGAAGACTATTTCAGGGAAGTGTAAGGTGAACTGGCCTTTAAAGGCTAGATGAGAGATAAACGCAGGTATTTTGGCTAGACTACAAAGTGAAAAATGAGGTTGGAAAAAAAAATCCTTAAACAGCACACCATAAACTATGTTGTTTGGCTTCATCTAAGCTCTTGATCACTACATTATGCTCAGAAAAATCAGAGCCAGAATCCATTCTCTTTGCCGTTTTACTAAATGGGGTTTTTCCCTTTTCATTGGAGGTGGGGGGTAATGTACCATCAACCAGTAAGTTTAGGAATAAATTGGTGAGAAGAGACTAGAGACAAGGAAAACCAAAGGGTATTCACTGATCCAACCAAAAAGTAGTAGAGGCTGAGGACAACAGGAGCAGGGACTGAGATGGGGAAACATACAGTAGAAGCAGAATAAGCTGGATATGGGGTGTAGGTGAGTAGGAGGATTATAGTTACATTCAAAGAAACAGGAAACAAGGAGGAGCAGATTTGGGTAAGAAAAGCACAAGTCTAGTGTGGCACATTTTTTTATTTGATGTGTCAACAGGTCATGCTGGTACCAGGAAATTGGACATACTTAATGAGCTGCTAGATAGGTTAGAGCCTCGTGGGAGTGTGCACTGCCAAGGGAGACTTAAATCGATTTTTTAAAAATCTGAATATTTGTCTGTTTGTTTTAATTCATTTAACAAATGTTTTTTGGGTGTCTGCTATGGACCAGGCATTTTGCTGGATGCTAGAGGCCCTTTCCTAAACACTAAGTGTTCAAAAGGTGAGAAAATTGTAGTAAATCTCTACATTTTATTACTTATCAAAAAAGAACATGGGGCACCTTTGTGGCTCAGTTGGTTAAGTGTCTGCCTTTGGCTCAGGTCATGATTCTGGGGTCCTGGGATCGAGTCCCGCATCGGGCTCCTTGCTCAGCGGGGAGCCTACTTCTCCCTCTCCCTCTGACCCTCCCCCCTGCTGGTGCTCTCTCTCTCCCTCTCTCTCTCTCTCTCAAATGAATAAATGAAAGATCTTTTAAAAAGAGAAAAAGAACAGACTTGCTAAAAAAACTTTTCATATGTGGTTTTCTAAGTAAGTACTTTCCATAGAGAAAGGTCTTTAGATCTCTAGCAAAACTAAAGAAAAAAAGCAATACCTGTGATTATTTATACTTCCATGTTTCAGTTGATTCTTTCCATACTTTTTATACATTCCTTTATCTTTGGAATTGTAGTGTTATGAATTTAGGGGCAGAACCTGGATATTATTTCCCGAAAGGTTTTACATTTGACAGTCTTAAATTTCACAAAATACATGTTTTGTCATTGGACTTAAAAAAATAGTATATATGAAGAAATCTTTACAACATCTCCAATGACAGCCCATGCCACTATCATTCTAATGTATAATTAAATCAATTTTTAATACCAATAGGACAACCTAAAAAGCATCAGAGTGTTTTTTAAAAGCAGGTAACTCAAACATTTTACTTACCCTAAGCAGACTAATTCCAACAGAAAGAAATGAATCACTTCAGGCTCTCCTAATAATCTGAAAATCGTTTCATTTCAAAAACTGAGAATAAGCTGGGTCTCCATCTGCCTAGAGTCTAAAGAAAAAAAATTCTTTTAATCTAAGGGAAATGAAAGTCTAATCCTACAAAAAGATAAGTTCTATCCAAATTTTAAATATGCTCACTATATTTGCTTCTGGTCAGTACTTCAGTTATTTAGTCTAATAAAATAATCCAGAATAGAAGGAAATGAGCAATGAAAGGAAGAAAGGCTTTGAAATGGTAACAGAGAAAGGCAAGATTGGGGGAAATTATGTGTGAAAATTCAAACTTTCCTGACTTTTGGAAGCAGTTTACAAAGTTAACCATTGCAGATAAAAATGAATCTGTATTATAAAGTATTGCTTATCTATTAGAAAGTAAAGCTGGCCTCATTGTATGAATATCTAGAAGAGTTTTGACTAAAAAGCAAGCATTTGAGTTAAAAAACATGTGAAACCAATTTTTATAAACCAGCTACTTCAACAACAATCCTTTTGAGAGTTCTTTCTCGTGGGGAATGTCTTATGCATTATAGGATGTTTAACAGCATTCCTAACCTCTACCCAATAGGTGCCAGTAACACATGCATGCCAAAAATGTCTCCAGATATTGCCAAATGTCCCAGTGGAAGGTTGGGGTGAAAATGTCCCTCCTTCAGAACTACCAATATAAATAAATAAATAATTTTTTTGGAGTCTGTGCCTCTGTACAAACATTACAGTTATGCCACTAACATTAATCATCAAGTTAATTCTAAAAAAAAAAGTTAATTCTAGAACAACTCACATAGTCCTTCTTAGTCTCAGCTTGCTCACCCAACCCATCAAGTTGGCAAAATCCCAAAAACTAGTATTTCGAAATGTAATCATAGCTATTTCTTCTCTGCAATACTGCTTTCTATCCACTGAGTGGCATGCCTCTCACTTTGGGAAATCAGTAACAGTAAATTTTTTTTCAAGATTGTATTTATTTATTTGACAGAGAGAAAGAGCACAAGCAGGGGCATAGGGAGAGGGAGGGCAGGCTTCCTGTTGAGCAGGGAGCCTGATATTGAACTCGATCCCAGGACCCTGGGATCATGACCTGAGCTGAAGGCAGATGCTTAACGACTGAGCCACCCAGGTGCCCCAATAACAGTAACTTTTTAAAGAACCATAAAGAGTCCATAGCTAGGAGGTTTCATACTAAAGGGGCTAATTACGCTTCTAAACCCTTGGTACTCCAGTTAAACATTTTCATTCTAAAGTTCTTTTGATAAGTATTTGATAACTATGCCATATCAAATTATAGTGTAATATTATATGACATTTACAACAAAATATATTTAATTTGAATTCAACTTTTTTATTATCCAACATTATCTGGGAGAATTAACTAAAGAACATCAATTGCCCTCAAAATACCCACTGCATTCAATCAGTTCAGTGAGATGCTGGTGCATGATATTTAAGTGATAAACCAATCTGAGTATACACTTAACTTTTTAGACTCAGTGTGTATCTAATAATAGTGCCTTTTGATATGGTGACTTGTAAAATACAACTTGGCTCACCTATTTCTTGCCCTGGAAGCTAATTCTTTTCTATAAACATCACATATACCTCTAATATAAACTATCAAACGAAAAATGTTCTCCCTGTGTAACAAATGCAAATATACCTAATTAAAAATCTGACGTTATTAAAAAGAATATCTCTAGTATTCATGAGTGTAAGGACTACCAAAATGGCAGTCACCCACCAGTGCATAGCTGGCAGGTGTCTGTGGTTACCAACACCCAAGGTTACAACTCACCTCTGTTCAAGATTAACAGGTACCATTACATCAAAGAATAATAACATTGTAGAAGTTGAATGGACCCTTTAAAAAAATTACCTTGGATTGCAAGTCATAGAGAACAGTTTGGGGCAGCTTAAACAAAGTGAGGGATTTACTGAAAAACTACCAGGAATCTCATGAAAGCCAAGGAAGAGTGAAGCCATTAAGCCCCAAGAAGAGCAAGAAGCTGGGCATTTCTGAGGCCAGCAGCAGCAGGTGGGGGTGGGTTGCTCTCAGTTACTAATGATAGTCAATGTCAACATTGTTCCATCTCTGTGTCCCCCTATTCAATACTGCAGGAAAGAGAGCCTGCTGCCTGATACAGATGTCCTCTCCTGCTTAATCAGCTCT